TCTAATTCTAACTCTACTGTCCCACAATGTGCAATATTCCCACACTACTAGAGCTGACACAATATGCACAAGTAAGTAAATCAGTCTTCCTAGGGCATCAGACAGCTACAGAGACACCCCAGTCAGCAATTTTCCTTCTCCTTGACACTTGTGAAGAGCTGAATGCACTTTTTACCTGCCATTTCCAACAAGTGAGAATGAAATACCTCAGGAGGTTCAGGTGAAAATAAGAATGTATGTACACACACAGCAGACGTATTGCACAATGGTATATGGGTATTACAGCTAACTGACTAGGAATGCAAAATGATTTAGCAGAACAGAAGTTCATTATCTCTTATATAATTTATTATTTCTTAATTTCTTATATAATTTAAAGATGTAATTAAAAAGATTTTTTGAACTTCCCCTAAAGAAAGATTTAAGGCTCAGTGGTTCTGCAGCTGACTTATTTGATGACATGTCTGTCATTTCTTTTCTGATAACCTTCTACATGATCCTACAGATAAAGAAGCAATTAACTTGGAGAATTAGACTTCCTCCTGTGACAGGGACCATCCTTTTTCTTGACAGTTCCTGCTTGCTGCCTGAACCTTCTAGCCCTTCTGCCTTAACACAATATATATGGAAGATTCTCTCCTGAGACAAATATTTAGGTGACTCCTATGCAAGAAAAACTGAACAGCCACATGACTGGATTTTTAAAATTTATAGCCAAGTGATCTGCTTTGCCTTGGGAAGTTCTGGTTTCTTTCCTTGTATGCTGCAGAGGGTGAAAAGATACTTAATGGGTTTTAAATAACTGCAATAATTTAAGCAGTGCTGAGTAATGTGGATGAATTTAATGGAGGGAATATGCAATTAGCTCTTAGTGGGGAAATCTGTTATTAAACAGAACTATATTAAACAAAAGGTTAGGCCACTAATGTTACTAAGAAAGCAACAAAGTAGTGACAGCACTGGCTATGGAAAATGGAAGAGGACTGATCTGACCAAATACAAATGTTTATATTTGATGTTAGTCACTCTGGAAACAATTTATGAACAAAGTCACATACTTTTAAGGTGCAATGCACTTAACCAGTGCCTCCCTGAAGATGAGCTGTTTTTCTGTGTTTATGTCTACTGTGGGAAGTTAGAGGAGTAGCTCCATTAGAGGTGTCTGCCTTATAAACCTCAACATCCAGGCAAGATGAGAGACTGTACAGAGACTGAAGGGCTATGAAATGGATTCCTTTTGGCTGAACCTTCTCCATTACCAGAACAATGTTTGGCACAGTTTTTTTCTCCAATTCTCCAGTGATTAATGTTGGAAGACTGCAGCCTAACTCTTGTATTGCCCACTGCAATGCACATATACACTGACAGATGCACTGCCCAAGCACTCCCAAACCAGGATGATACATAAGGATCTATCATCCCCTTCCAGTAATGGATATGGTTAATATGAAGGCTTTTCTTTGGCAATTATAGAGAATAACTACAGTTACAGAAAAAGGTTAGGCTTACCTGAAGCGATCTCCATCCTGACTTCAATTCAGTCTCTTTTGAAAAGCACACAAAGGACCAGACAGTTAAGAGGAGCTCAAACAGCTAATTATTAGGAAAAAATAATCTGGCAGTGTTCAATCATTTGAAATATGTGATTAACTCTCCAGGAACTCTAGCAAGTGCATATACTGGGGAAATGAAGGGAAAGGTAGACTGCCTAGACCACCAGCACAGAACAAACTGTCATCAGGAAAAAAACCCCACATTTAATTTCCCCTCTTTTATCATCTGCTTCTCCCTTGAAAAATCTCAATACTTTACAGTAATAACAATTTCACAAAGAGTAACTGTAAGAAAAGAAGATATTAAATTAGTAGACTGTCAGCTAGGACAATCACGGTCTATTAAGATAAACTTATTCTGTGGATCTCTAGATAGATTATTCTCTGTATGTCCATTTAAATGAATTATTTGCACTGCACAGGCTCTTAAGTCTTTCTAAAAGAAACAAGGAAAATAAAATATAACATTGTCACAGCCTAATGGTCCCTCCTGCCTGACAGACAATAGGAGAGAAAAAAACTTACTGAAAAATGAATGTTGGGTTGATTATTACCAAGCTTATTTTCAAAGTGGGAGGCAATTAGACCATGGAAACATTCTCTTCCATTATTTCTATTATACCAGAGGAAGATAAAGTACATAAATATAAGGATGGATGGTTATTGTTGATGCACAGTGACAGCTACTCAGTATCTTACATCAAAGAACTATGTTCCATCAGCCCAGATGTTACACAGAGACAGGCAAATCTCTAACAGGCACTTAGTCTAAAAATCTGAGCCACTGTTTCGAGTTGTTGGGGTCCTTTTTTTTTGTAATTTAAGAAGCTGAGGTAAAACTAGAATAATCTTTATCTGCTGTTTAACAAAACAAAGCATTTACAACAGGATTCAGGTTGATAAACTATACTTGTAAAACATTTTCAGAAGGGCTCTTCACACTTGTGTTCCTGACACTATAGGTACTCAAGCTGAAGTAGAACCACTTTGCCTCCTCTTCAGAGGTACAGAAGACATTGATTTTGGAAGGTCTGCTTTTAATCTGACCTCTTCTGAGGTCAATATATAACACTGATAAAAAATTACCACTAAACCTTATAATAGTAATTTTTCTATTTGCTTAACTCCAATTCACACACTTAAAAAGAGAGTGAAGTTAAGCTTTAATGGGTTAAGCCCCCAAATACTAACTATTCTGGCCACGTTGGGAATCTATTTTAGATCTCTAAAGAAGAAATTCCTTTGAAACCATGATCTGATATGCAGTCAGGATCTCTCTCCTTGGAGGCAGTCAAAAGGCACCTGGCCATGGCCCAGCCTGAGCAGGGGGTTTAGAGCACATGACCACCTGAGTTTTGCTACTGGTTCTGCATTAACCCTGCAATTTCTGAACTCTGTCCTATCCACAGAGCAGTCAGAACCGACCACAGAGGTGTTCTGGCTCTTGGGAGATTCCTTAAGTTTCAGATCGATTAGCATTAATAGAATACTGGTAGAAACATTCACCTTATTCTCCTCCAGCTCACAAGCCTAGCAGCTCTGAGTATATCAAGAAAATATTAACAAGGAAATATGTCAAACAAAATTAAATCACAAAAGAGCATCCTCCTTAATTCTATTGCCAGTAGTTAAAATGAAAGCTTAGTGGAAATCAACTAGTCTTGAGTACCGAAATTATATAAAGTCTACATTTAGAACCTCTTTTCACACTTGCAGCACCCAATTCTCCATTACAGTCACAGCAGCAGAACTCAGTAAAACTCCTATTCAATGAGATGTCATTTATCTGCAAATACACTTTATAATAACGTATTTCCAACTACTGCAAATTGATTTTGTTTCATTCCTTCCACGTGCCATTGTGCCACCAAAGATAACTCCTTTGATATTAATAATAATGAAGATGCATTGCATCTGACAACCCTAACAACGTGTTTAATACAACATTTTAACTACAAGTAGATGAAGAATCAGAAGGGAACACTTTTTTTAGATTCCATTGTTTCAGAACACAGACCTGTATAAATGAAATTACCCTACTTAAAAGTTATTTCCACTTTGATATTACTTCTATTTAATATGACAGTTTTATTTTGGGAAGATTACTTTCTGACATACTGCAAATTATTTTCCCCAAACAATATGGTTTATCCTTCTGTATCTGCTGTAATCAAATTTGTCTCAATAGTCTCCTGTTTCTGTTCTATAACTCTGGCAATTAAACATTCTGACTTCTTTTAAAATGACAATCCTAAAGTGTCACTTGCAAAGAGAAACAAAACAAAACATGCTGTCTTGGACTCTGCTATTGCACAACACAGTGATGGATTTATTCAGGCTTTATTTCACCCACTTGGTTACCAGAAAGTGTTGCTTCTGCAGAACAACACACATTCGGCCAGTGATGTTCGTCAGATCTGACTTTTTTCCTGCCGTCTGAGTTTGCATTTAGGAGACTCTCCAAGCCCGCTCCCCCATCTAACCCAAACACTGTCATCGTGTTCTCCACAGGAAAACCATTTAGGAAGCTTCACCTTTATTTCTGCTCTCTCCCATTAGATTTGTTTGCCTAAAGAAAACACCTACTTAAGGAGGCAAATCTCATTTATAATTGCATGTACAAAGGAAAAGAGTGTATGCTGCAATTTTAAAGCAAATTAAAAGTTTAACTGTAGAGTCAAGCCTTTTGTTTAAGGAAGCACTGTATGCAGAGCTGCTGTAAATAGCTTAACAAATATATTAACACTGAAAAAACCCAAAACCATGGTTAAAAATGAAACAAAAAGAACCCACTGCATGTGGTGCTGTCCTTGTCTTTCCTTCTTGCAGCTTTTCATTCCATTAACCAAGTTCTAAGCAAACATTCTCCCTTATTTTTAGCACAAACAGGGCAACAATCAGTATGTTACAAATTACTAGCTTTTAGACCAAGTTGAGAAAGGTGACCTCCTACTACCTGCTTTGGGACAACACTCCTCACAAAAAGCACAGAAGAAATGTTAAGATGTTACTGCTACTGAGCAACTATCATCTCATTTGAACAGCACAACAGAGTGGAAAAGGACCTTCAGGAATGTACCACTCTAAACATATAAACATGGAAATTGTCATGTAGCGACAGAATGAGTTTTTAAGAGCAACAGTAACACAAACCCTCCTTGCAAGCAAGTGCCATAAAACAGAGATGAAAGAGGTGAAATGCTGCAAGCAACTCCTGACATCCAAATCCATTTCAGACAGCCAATAACCCAGTCCACTCCTCAGAGTTTATGCTGACGTTTACTGTTGCTCACCGCATTTACCTCCTACTTTTAAGACTCAATATGTGCATTAAATATGAACAACTCCAGGGTAGAGCCCTGAAGTTCCAACTATGAATAACTATTCACTTTCAGGTTAAAAAAATCACTTTGCTGTAATGACCATTAGTTCGTGCACATACTTTACCTGTACGTCGTTGGTGTTCATCCTTGTTCCATCCTTGCCAACGAAGATATCATCTATGTCAACCAGAATGTACCTATCCAAGGATAGTGTGAGCTTCTTTCCAGACAGGAAAGAGATGGCATCTATGAAAATCAGCTTGTGAAGCCAAAAATTCAAGTTACTGCTGAAAAGGACTCGTTGAATCCCATCGTGGAGCCCCAAGTCATGAATTACCGTGGCATAGAGAGCACTTAGAGCAGCAGGTGGAGAAAGGTTTTCTGGTGTCTTTACTTTTGCAAGTATCACTGGTTGGTAAGTTGTGTGATTAATCTGGAAAACAGCCCAGTCATTTCCAAGCAAGGGCCCTTTCTCAAGCTTAGAAGGTTTAGTCACATGGAGCAGTGGGGAATGAGGGTTAATGCAACAGTCCAAAATACCCAGATTGTTGTGGACATGGAAGGGAAAACCCTTCAACTGAAAGCTCTGCAAGCTGTTCTCATTGCCTTTGTGAAACCCAATCACACCTACACCATATTCTATACAGTATTTATCTAGAAGGCCTCTGTTCCAAGAGTCCATATTCACGTACTTAAGAATATTTTCATATACTATGAGAGCATATTTGCCTTTGTTTTTATCTATAAGCACTGGGAGATCACCTTTCCCAGATGCAATCTCAATGTGAAACTGAAACCTGCTAGATTCCAGAATGGTTATTATATCTTGGCCTAATGCTGAGTACTGGCTTTCCACAAACACCAGCACTACAAGGTCTGTCCTCAGGGGATCAACAGGCTTCATGGTCTTCATCTCCATCAGCTTGTATGGCAACAGTTGAGGATCACCACATTCCACTTCCGAAGAGGTTTCAGGAAGTTCGTTTTCCTGTTTGTAGCCATTATACAAGTAGTAGGCAGAAATAACTATGCTCACCATACAAAAAGTGGCCAGCAAAATGACTGTTCTTTGAAAATGTCTGTGAAGTTTCAGGATAAAACTCATGGTGTTTACTTGCCTTAGATAGCTCTCAACAGCAGCATGAAAAACAAACACAGATTCTCAACAATTTTTTCCAGTCCTCTGAAATATTTATGTCACCATTGCAGCACACATCTATCTTCCACAAAGCTTTACTGAAGGTATAGTCTAGGAAGAAAAAAAAAATCAGAGATTTAATTGAGGCATCACCTTGTGAAGTATTATCCGTTTAAACTAATGAGGAGCAAAGAAACCACTGCCAGCCAGAGGTTTCTGTTGGTAACAACTGCTCAGAACTTTGCAATAATATATTTTTCCTGCTCCCACTGCTTGCCATGTGCATTTGAAGGTCTCTAAATCTCACAGGTTCCTCAACTCAGAGGATCAAATAAAGCAGGCAAGATGTAAAAGTGAAGAATTTACAGTGTTTTAGAAATTCTTTTTACCTAAAGATAAAAGTTAAGTCCAAGTAGACAATTGCTAACAACCAAAATATTGGAAAATTTATAACCTTCTTCCTTCTACCCCTAAAAACCTGGGGAAACATGATTAAACAAATTCTATCTTGTATTAGTTTTTCAAAGAACCAAGGACATGCACATCTAAACTGTTGTACAGACATATACTGATACACTCTATATTATATCTATCACAGGAATTTTTTTAAAGCAAAACTTCATTGCTGCAACATTAGAGGAAAACCAAGCATTTTTCTGGACTGTGCAGTTTTGCAAACTATTAGAAGTACCTTGTTTTTTTGGGTTTCTTTTTGTTACCAGCATTTCTTTGCATTAGAAATAAAAAGAAACACAGAATAATCAAGCTCTTAAGTCTGAGAAAAGAAAGTAATAAATCAAAAGTTAAACCTAACAGGCAGATCACCTAAGGATATACTTATATTCTATCTTGTACTTAAGGAAAGAGTAATTGTTCAAGCCAGCAGTAAAACTGCTGTCAAAACTCCCTAGTAAAACAAGTGGATGGTGTGACAAGCATAAAAAATGATCATAAATCATAAACAAAGATTCAAAGCAGATTTTGAAAAATATTAAGTGTGTCAAGATCTAGAACATGCCATTGTCACTACAGTGTAGTTTGCACCCAGGTCCATTTGGAAATGGGATTAGGATAAGGTGTGGCATTTACCTGGTCATTTCCCAACTGAGAGCTTAATCCTTCCATTCCTGGTTGGGTTTTTTATCCTACATTGTAAGCAAACTGGTATTTCACTTCAGATTTTCAAAAAAGCTAAAAAATATGATGTACTTAACAGTACCTACGTAATGTCCACAGATGTAATTAAATCCTGAAGACAGATCTTCCTAGCGCCATGATGAGCATAAAGCAAAAATAAATGAGAAAAATCAGATGAGGGGTAAAAAGAAACTCCAAGTCATTCTGTTCATCACACTGCAAAAGTCAGCATGAATACCAAGGGTACATGAGCTGTCTCATTCATAGTTAAGATTCATAGCAAGATTCCTTCTGTCTGGATAGATTCTACTCTGGATAGATTTTACTCTCCTCATCTTCTACTCCCAGATAACTGTTTATCAACCCTTTCTCTTCTGGGAAGACTTAAACCCAGCCTTGAACCTTACCTGCAGCTGCACAAAGTCCTGCTCAAAGCTTTTGGGTAAGAGACCTACCTTTCACCCAGGCTCACTAATTAGTGTTAGACTAAAATAACATAACCCCAGCTTCCCGGTTTCTATCTGAAAAAACCTGAAGAATGCATGAAGACTAAGCAACAATATGGAAGTACCTTTAGAAGACCTCAACATTCTTAAGCATTGAAATGTCCAATCCTTGTCACACGAGCTTCAAGAGTATCAGTCTGGATGGCATAACAGAGATATTTAACATGGTAACAAGTCAGGTGACAAAGAGAAATTCCACCCTGAATGAGTTAACACCAGAGAGAGGTTTCCAGACAGATAATTTTTCATTACACACATGAAGGGCTCTCCTCACTTTGCATTTCCAATTCAGCTGCCTGAATGCCAAGAAACACATAATTTTAGTGCCTAAAATTAACACTAACTGCATTCTGTAGAAAAGCTGTACACACACCTATTTCTCTTTGATAACCACAGATCTGGTTGGTCTAGATACAGAAAAAATGAAAATTGACACTAACTTAGGCTCACAGCAAGGAAGGGCTGATGAGACAGAGCTGTTTGAACTGGGTATTACACAAGGGCTGCAACCCAAGAAACACTTGCAGCAAGGACACAGCTCCTAACGCCATTCCATACAGAGGAAAATCCGGAGCCAGCCCAGAAAGCTGTGTTTTCTTCAAGAAAAGCCTTGTCATGGTATCATCAGTTCCTAATTGCAGGTACCCCCTGGGGCTACAGGGTGCAGCTGTAAGGAGTGGCTGGAACTGTCAAGACCGATGTGAGGCTGGACTGTGAGGAATGAGGAATTCTCCGAGGCAGCAGGACACAGCCAGACTTGGCACACTGCCTGCTGAAGACAGGAAGTGGGATGGAACAGAGCAAGGCACAAGGTTTACATGCATGCTCTCTTGTATCAGCTTAAGGCTTAGGTAATCTTCACTTGCTTAAGGACTGGTTTGCAACACAGGAGTTCAAAAGAACATAGAAAGAAGAGAACAAACATTTTCAAAGAGAACATATATTTTACAATATCAACAGTCTCAAAGTCTTGATAAGGCACAGTTGCTTTCCTTGCTGTCTTACAGCAGCGTGCTAAAACAACTCAGAATGTGTCCCCTTGAGAGTGACATCCTTGGGATGCACCACACACCACACATTGTAGGACCTATGATCATGACAGTGGCCTTTATCACATCTTCAGGGAAGATAGCTCTTGCTTGCTATCATTTCCTACAGTAAAACCAGACAAAAAGTGTAATTCTCAATGTACCTGCAGTGAGTAAGTAAGCTGTGAGAAGAGGCATTTCAGAAGAGGACAGTACTTGAGGAGTCTTACTTTCATGACCAAAGAATGCAATACTGTACCAAAGAAAGGAAAAGTCATGATAGCTTCAACATCAATAAAAAACACCCAAGTATAAGAAAAATGCTTAAAGGAAAAAACCAGAAAGAGTGTAGAAGCCTTCACAAGAGTTCAAGCTTTTTAGTATTGTTTCAGTGAAAAAACATCAAAAACATCCATAGTTAACATCACCAGCCTCAGCTCTTTTTGATTTCTACAGTCATGTGGAATTCTGTGACAGAGGAATATGGTCCCACCCTGTACCTCAAAGCACTTGAAAACAGGAGTCAGATATTATATGAATCCAAAGTTCCGTAAAGCTGATGGTGCAATAAGTTTTACCTATAAAATGCTTTGTATGATACTTTTCCATGGTTTGAAGCAATAAAATTTGCCTGCTTGTTCTTCTGTCTAGAACTTTATTGCTTTAGAAGAACCTGCATTTGATCTCCTATTTTGCATTTTCATGCTAGTGTTAAAATTCAGACCAGGACCTTTTACCTCTGCTGCTCAAAGTAGGAGGTATCAAAATGCTCCCTTAAGGTGAGAATTAGCATCTTTGAATATTCAGAATTTGCTTTTTAACTTACAGACTCACTATGGAGAAGATCTGGCTGAGAGAAAGCTGAGTCATGGCAGCAAGTTTTGCATTTTGTTATGAACACAGACAGCAAGGCTGAATGTTCTTGTCATCTGCAGCAGAAGTGGTTTCTGCAACCCAGAACCAGCTCATGTAAAAATCTTGCTGGTACAGGAGAGAAGTATCCCCTTATTAAGCAGAAGAGTTACCATTCTGAACATACTGCTGGGCACTCACAATTACAGGCATCTGCAGGCAACCAGCATGAAACAGATGCATTTGAATAGAGATCTTCAATTTGGATTGGTTTGGGGAGGGGTTATCATTTGTTCTGCTTGTTCTGTTTCAGGTTTTTTAAATTCACTAACAAAGTAGTACGGATAGAACAAATATTGTGAGGAACTCCAAAGACTCAAAGCACACCATAAGTGAGTTCCTACCACTTGCAGCTTTCTTTAGTTTGTTGTTTCATTGCTGAGCATAAGTGAACGAATTCTTGGCTTCTGTAAATCATTTCCCCCTAATAACTCTAATGGAAACTCTTCCAGGAGACAACACAGGCAGGGAACACAGCCTACTAAATTCTTCACAGGGGTTCTCAATCCAGTAAAAACAAATGCTCAAGTAAGAAACTGTACAGGCACATAAAACTGCACAGAATTAAAAAAAAAAAAAAATTACTATTGAAGTTGAATCATGAGTATCAACACAAATTTAAAACTACAAGAAACTTTTTTCTGCTCTCTTAATATCAAGATTAAAGCAATGGGCTCAACTAAAATATCCATAAATAAGTGAGAAATAGTTCTCAAATCAAATTTATCAAAGCCCAGCAAGAAAACTCTGGTTTAGTCTTACCTCAGGTCTGTGCTAGGGCCTTGATTAGAAAAGATAAAGTTGGATCATACTTACAGGTAAAAAACACACTCTTAAAGGGTAGCAAAAATCCTTTTAATCAAGAACTACTAAAACAGAGCTAGTTCTGGATTGGGTAGTCATCTGTATTATTCAGGTATATTACATTTATCTGGAGACATATTTTTAATAAGTTTCTTCTAATAATCCCCATCACTATATTCTCATTCTGTTCTTTAACAGCCCAGATACTACCACAGTGCTGGTGATATATTACATGAAGGATGAGTTTTAAATGAAGAGCAGAAAAAAAGGAGGCATATTGTTTAGTATGCTACCACAGACATTTAAATCTCCACTGATTAGAATGCTCCTTAGCTGCTTTGAATATAAAGGTCTGCTCTGACCAGTCACTGTGAAATATGACTTCAAAGGAAATATTCTCAAGTCATTTTAGTGTTACTAAAACAGAAATCTTTGGATATACAAAGGACCTGGTAGGAAGCAGCAAACTACAACTGAACACAACCAAACCTGGGGTGAACATCAGGGCTGACTTTTAAACCAGTAATGAAAACACCAAAGTAGCCTCCAAACACTGAGTACCCTTACTTACAGCATTATTTTACTGACTAAAATATTCAAGCATTAACAGCTCAAATGAGTAAATCCAGGCTGAGAATAAGACCTTACAACTGCATATTAAAAAGACGTTTTCAACTTGTAAAAACGGTGATATGAGACATAAGCTGTCAAGGGAAGTCTTTGGGACCCTTTAGTATCACATAACAAACCCTGGAATGTGTGATTGGCGTACATTCCCTCATAGCTGTTAGAAAAGAAGGGAATGGTTCAGACAGTACAGCAATTCTGGACAGAAATTCTTTTCCAAGTCCTTGAGGTAAGCAGCTCTTAGTTTCTACTGTACCTGTGATATCCTTAGCTCCATGCTGCATTGCCTAACACAGTGCTAGAGACCCTTACAGGATAGGGATTCAAGGATTACAGTTTGTCAAGAAAAAATATCTATAAAGATTAAATATACAATGTTTAAAAATAGCTTAAAAGAAGGTTTTAAAGACTTCAGCAGAACATAGAAGTTTGGTTTAGTCTTCAAATTACTCTTTACCTTCATACAATACTTTCTACGGACAGATCTTTAAGCTCTTGCCATCACATAATTTTTCTGAGATAAACCATGTTATTTATCAGCAATTGCAAAAACATCACTATCTAAAGAGTAAATTATTCGCTCAAGGTCTCTGAGATAAATGTCCAGCACACTGTCTGGTCCACGCCTATACCATCACCTCCCCTCTCTTTTCTCCCTCAGCTGCCAAGTGTAAAGAGTTAATAAGGCAGAGATCAGCACCATTTCTTCCGAGACACCTGACTGGGGATGCTGACAGTGAGAGAAACCCATTTCTTTCACTTACCATTCTATTAAAAAAGAAAACCTCACCACACCAAAACCTGAAGCAATTATCCAGCACATCAGGCATCGACTTGAATAAGATACAAGCTTTCTGCCATTTCCCGAGGGTTGCACATGACAGCTGAACCGAGCAGCAGCACACATCAATTTCTGACAGGATTTAGGGAATCCAAGCAGCTATAACCACCTGAAGTTATGAATAATTACTGCACTAGGCTGACTAATTTTGTCCCCCAGCAGAGCCATAACCAATTCCCGCAAACACTAGAGGGCAACAGCGTCGCGCAGAACAACTCCGCGAGGAGAGCGAGAGGGAAAAGCCCAGCCACTGAAGGGCTGGTGCGGGGATCGCGCCAGGCAGATGCCGAGTGCGCCGGGAAACAAGAAAAACAAACCCAAATCCCAAGAAACCCCACAGAACAACCCCGCAAACGCTGCCTCCGCAGCGGGAGACTCGGTAGCGGGCAGCCGCCCCGTCCCGCCGCGATCCCGGCCCGGGCGGTGCCCGCAGCGGAGCGGGAGCCCGCGGGCGGCTCGGGCACAACTTTGCCGGGGCCGGCGAGCGCGGAGCTGCGCAGCTCCGCCGCGCCGGGCCCGCGGGCACCGCTCGCCCCGCTCGTTACCTCCGGGCGCGCTCCGCCGACATGGCCCCGCGAGGTGCCTCCGATCCCGCTGCCGTCTGTGCCCTCCGCACAGCCTGCTCCCGGAGAGGCGCCGACACCCGGCGGGCGCGGAGCCGCCCGGGGCGCGGAGGTGCGGCGAGGCTGCCGCCGGGGGTGCAGCAGCGCCCGGCAGCCTCGCCGCGCCCTCCCGGAGGAGGAGCCGCGCTCGCCGGCGAGGGGCGGGCGGGGGCTCCGCCGCGCCGCCTCCCACATCGCCCGCCCTCCTCCGAGGCTCGGCCGGGCCGGGGGCGGCTGCGGCCCCGCGCCTTCAGGCTGCCCGGGCCCTCAGGCTGCTCCCGCCCTCAGGCCGCCCGCCGGGTCCGCCCCTCACGGCACCTGCGGCGCACCACTCCCACACGGGGGTCGGTGCTGCCTCAGTTGAGGGGTTTTTAGTCCCTGTCTTAAATAAAGTATGATTTTTAAATTTTTTTTTTCTTTTTTTCCACTCCGAAACCAATTTAGGAAGCCCCTGCTGCTGAAGCGCTGAGGGGAAGTTTCACTCACAGCCTGCCGCCAAATCCCTCGCTGCCGGTGCAGCTTTAGGTATGGCCGACTTCTGAGCCGGTCTAAAGGTAGCGCACAAGGGCACAAATTCCCTGTGGTCAATTACATTTTGTCAAGACAATGTAGGGTTAAAATCTTGAGAGAATGCCAGTCGTTAATGTATTTACAGCCTCGCTGCTTTTCTTCACTGAATTTTCTAACCCTATGCTAAACACAGTCCCACTGTGTTTTTCACTGATACCCTATATCCTTGGCTCTGGAGATGGAGCTGCTCCATTACCACAGCTGAGGGAGTTACGATTCCCTGTGTACACTGCATTAGCTTTCACAAATGGGAAATAAAATGAATAAATTTTACAAGTGCTCTCTTGATCTAGCTAATTTGCCTCGCAATTGCCCAGTGATTGTTAGCTCACCTAATGGCTGACAGTTCAATACATTGGATCAACTCCATCACTGGTGCTTGTCTGTCCAAACCTTCCTTTCTGTGACTAAAATGTAAAGGAGAAGAGCTACAGACACCTGAATGTTGCTTTTTCAAACATCTGGAGAATTTACAGCTCTTAATTCAGCAATACTGTTATTTGCTTTCTCCTCTTTTTCTCCCTTTTATTTTCATGACATACTAAATACCCCAAATTTTACTGTCTTCTAAGCTACAAAACAGTGCAAGGTCCATGAGCTAGACTTAGAGTAGAAAAGAGAACTTGTCACAAGGGCTTACTATGTGTGAGGTTATTAATCCCTGGAACAGAACATCCATCTGAAATCCTGTTGCCCTCTCAGTATGCTAAAGAAAGGGATTTTCTCCCAGATTAAGCTTCTCAACTGGGTGAATATCCTGATACAGTCTTGTTTTGGGGATTCTCTATTACAACAGATTTTTTCCTACAACAGGCTAGGAAACATGGGGTGGAAATCAGCCACAAGTGACTGAAATTCTCAGCTGTGAGTTCAAGCTCACGGTTTCCCTCCCACCCTTCTCTCTGAGCAGCTGTTTTTAGGTTATCACTGGCCAGCCTGGTCAGAAACGTGTCGGAGCACGCCTGTCCTCGGAAGCACTTGGTTGCTCACAGAGATGTGCTAGACACCTCACAGCTGAGGGCTGCAGCACTGCACGTCAGCAGCTGCAGCACCGAGCACTTCTGGCAGGAATATTAACAGCTTTCATCTTTCTTGGTGCTACTTTTCAGGTTTTTTGCTCTTGAGCTGTCAGTGCAGCCTGAACTGGGAATAATGTCTTAGCCGTTCTTAGAGCAATACATCTTAAGACACCGCTGACTGCTCTTCTGGCCAAGATTTCTGCCTAGCACACAGTACTTCACAAAAAAATAGGAAAATGAGTAGTAAATCCAGACAAGAAATTAGCAAAGAGGAAAACCTACTGAATTGCAGGCAAACAGAGACACAACTGCTACTCTCCACCATGAACCAAGGACTCAGCTTTCTGCTTTTCTCACTGTTGGCCTTGACACATGAATGATCCCTTTCCCATTCATGTTCTTCTTCCAACTCAAGTCTTCACCTGTGCTATGTCCTTCTGCATCATCAGCAACCTCTCTTCCTCAAATGAACTGAATCCCACTTTGTCTCAGGGTCTTGGCAATTTCAGTCAATTACTGCAAGAAACAGTTCAAACCATTGTGTGGTTCTACATCTGCAAATGAACTCTTGGTCCCGCTCAAACCTGTGCAAAATTTGGTTATTTTCAGTATGGTGATCATTACTACAATTCCCAGCACAAATTGCTCATACAATGGACAGACTGATTATACTGCACATCAGGAAGGTTATTGTTTGAAGCATTATTTGTAACAGCAACACTTTTCTGTTAATAAAGAAATACTTTATCCAGTCCTACCATTTCCAAGTTTAGAGATTCTTTTAACCAATTGCTCATTATTATTTGTATTATTTTTCTTGGCCTTTTCTTGCAGGAAGCCATTAAATTGAGATACATATTTGAAAACAAGGAGCATCAAGGCAATTGCCTGTTATTAGTCATTTCGTGATTACTTTTTTAAAGCTATTACAAATGCTACTAGTCAACAGGCAAACTTACTGTAGATTTATAATGCTGTTTGGATTAATTAGAAACTTGTTAAACTGTGAAATGTTTTCTTTACACATTTCATCTATATAATGAGGAGAAAAATGTGGCCTAAGATTTAAAAAATGCTTGTGGTCAAAAATGTCATCAGCTAAGAGGCTATCTCAGAGAAGAAAAAACCCCAATACTGTTCAAGTTTATAACTGAACTACATTTTCCCAGTATTGTTAGTACAATACCCTTCACTTGTGAAGCGTGTAATGACTATTCTGTAGCAAACAATATAGGAAGCCAGCCACACTTAGAGATTTTCCCTATAAAACCACTATCTTTCAGATGGAAACCCCACTTACTGTTTCTTTTCAGAGCTTTCCATTTAATTTTCAATACATTAGCCTAAAAAATTCCCACTATCTGCATACATTGCAGAAATATCTTTCAATCCAGTGGAAGGAAGTTGCTAATTGCATGCCGTGGGCGCTGACTGCTTGGCAGCAGCAAGGCGGTTTTATCTCCAGTCTTAGAATAAACTATTGTTATAAATATGTTTTGTTCCATGTTAATCAGGGAATCAAGACAGTTGGAATCTTTGTACAATGATCAAATGGACAGCTCAGGAATTAATTCGGTGTGTCTGTTGTAAGCTGCAAACCCACCCTTTACTGCTCAAATCATGCCATGTGAAGTATATGACAGATCCATTAATGAGGAGGACTGAGCATTTTCTGTTGCAATTTACCAGGAAATTTGCTTATGAAAAGAGAGAAAAGACTCTTCCTTCCCATTATATCAGGTTCAGAGGTTCCAAGTTAATAAATATACCAAAAAAATAGCAGCACTGGTTCAGAATGTATTAATTTTAGTGAGTTGTTTTGAATGTATGTCAATTTGAGTGAAAGTTCCTTAGCAATATTGAAATTGGTTACAGGAAAAGGATAATGGGGATGGAAGAAAATAAAAAAGAAACCAAATCTCTATAAGCACAGTCAACAATCTGAAGCATCTTTACCCTTTTAAAGAAAGTAACAGGTAATTAAAACTTCTGTTAAAATTTTATTTTAGAATATATAATAAAATAGGGCTAAGAAGACTTTGCATTACTACCCTAAAATCAATTCATTTTCCACACCAATAACAAAGGAAAAGTTCTAAAACAGTCTTGTAATTTGCAGAGAGGGAAAACATTAAACTACTATATATATTCAGTTGAGCAATAATCCAAACACTTCCCAAAACTGAATGTCATTCACAGTCAGCTGGAAAAATCATCATAGTATCATCTTTCCTTTCCCTTAGCAGAAGTAACTCTGGAGAAAATGGGTAATTTAGCTGATTTATTTTTGAGAAAAGCACCATGCTTTAGCACTGCCTTCAACTTCCTCACACCCCTCCCTTTCTTCTATATAAAAAATCCCTCCTGCCTCATGAACACCCAAAGCACAGCCCCACTTCCCTGTGGCAGCAAACAAAGAGCAATAACCAGAGGAATTTGCACAGAAAGTTAGGACGGAAATTAGAAGAAGCTCTTAAATCACCAGAGTGAAGCAGACCCATTCTGTAAGTAGTGAGGGCAAAAAGAGTGGTTAATTTTGAGATGGAGGTTAAGTGACAATCAGACATTGTTCATCACAGTGCTGGACTGGCCTTGATGGCTTAAGAGCATCTATAGATCAGTGACCCCAGTGTTTTTATAGTGCTGGGAGATCAAACCCAGCAAGAACACGAATAAATCCTCATCATTGATGTTGAAGTTGCTATTGGCTGTTTCAGCTGTGGTGGTTTGTTTGTCACACTGGTTGTTTCAGGCTGTCTGTAGGCACTAGAGAAGATAAGCACCAGCACTCTGTTCACATGAATATGAACATCTCCTCACAAGTCATCATTCTTTAATGAAAGCCTGTATTCTGGAACATAAGATGTTAGCCTCCAGGGAAACATATCAGCTTGTCAATCTGTCCCACAAGTCAACAGGTAAAACAAAAAAGGCCAAATAAATTGTTTTATTTCCTGCTAGAATTAATTTGAATACCAGATCTTTCTGCTTATTAATATTTCAGTTCTCCCCAAACATGAAATGGATTGAAATATCAGATAAACTGGTAGAACTCTTATGTTTGTCATATATTATTTTGATTTAATCATAAGAAATTACGTCAATAGGTTGCCCATATGTAATCATGCACCATGCACAGAGATCTTAATTACCCTGTTCATCAATATTCATGATAGCCCATATTATCCAGGGTATTATCCTATATTGTTATATGTGATGCCACATGAATACCATATGGGAGAGGGATTTAAAAAAGG